CCTGTGTAATTCTAATTTATGTCAACTAGAAATCAAAGAAATTCCAAGAGGCTTTGGTCATAGGACATTGGGGTGGACCTTTCAAAATCTATTTATGTCTATTCCTTAAGTAACGTGGCCCCCACAGCCCTCCTGGCGCCTTTATGGGCCAAGGAGAAATAGCCTCCCAACAGAAGGGGAGCTACCTGCTCCAGACAAAGGCGGAGGAGTGGAGTTAGGTAAATGGAGGTACACTTTCTCCGTCCTGTCTACAACTCTTTAGGGACTTAAGAACTAATAAGCATTTTAAGCAAAATGCTTTGCCAAGAGTGGCTCCCTCAATAATGCTCTTTAATGATACCCAGACGCTGGCATTTTCAAATCAAATGAACAGTGTATAAAATTAGTTCTGCATGAAGTTGAAAAAAAATAGTAAGTGAAAGGGAGCTTTTAAAAGCTCCAGCATTTCTCCATCCAACTGCTTTTCACAAAGGTTTGGCATATGAGAATTGCTACATTTATGATGTTATTCGCTGCTCATAATTCAGGCCCTCTGTCTCCAAACTTCTGTATTAACATGCACTGCAGAGGTTTCCACCACGACGTTTTATCACCGAGGTTTCCCAAACCAGCCGGGTTGCCTCTGGCGAGGTCTGGTTTCTCAGCCAGTGCCATGGCCACTAGGCTCCCTCCCTTTTCATCAACCTTGTTACCCCAAACATTTTTCATTAACTTTGAACACTGCATTTCCATTTGCCCTACAGCTTTTCCATGAATTTTTTTTGTCTTTTTCAGTTTTGTTCTCCATCCAAACTGCCTTGTAAGAAATGAGGAAAATATATTAGAAGAAACAGCTCTATATAGACTCTAGAATTCAATGAAATTGTGAAAATGATTTCTATAACCAAAGCCACTGTCAGTAATTAAGGAAAGTAGAGTAAACATATTGCTCTTATTAGCGAGACCCGTTGATTATACAAGTAGTTTTTACTAAATCACCAAGTAAATGCGTGTTAAGTTGATAGGTGATTTCAGGTCAACTCTAATTCCCAAGGTCAAGTAAGCCTTTGAACAGCCTTTAAGAATATAAGTTCACCCCAATTCATCAAAGCCGTCTCACACAGCGTTTTCTTCTCTTGGTTCTTACAATGCACTGAAGTTTAGGAGATTAAGTGGCGTTGGCTTCAAAACCCAAAGTAATGCCTCTAACATGCTTATCCGTCCAGCAATCAGAAAAGCTACTCAAACAGGGGCTTCCTTAATGCACTTCCTAATTTTACAAGTGCTCGGGGAATACCGCATTTGTCAAATGGCTGGGGGACTCCTCCCTAGGAGTCACCAATGTTGCAGTCAAACAAATTTTACTGCTGTTTTGCTTCAACATTGTCTGATAATCTAAGTACATGTTGCTTTCATCTGCAAAGAACAGGTTTAATGTTTCTCATCTGTTCTTTGTTTACCTAATGAGAAAAAGGGAGGAAAAACACTTCCCTACAACAAATACAATGCATTTTGTTATTCTTACAATTTCTTCCAAAGCTCAAGTGAGTAAAAAAGCAGAAGTCTGGTAAAGTATAGCTTTCAAATTAAGTGTAAGTGGCCCCAAATGGAACTGACTGCATATGAAAGAAAATATATCTTGCCTTCAATATTTCTCAGAACCACGGGCGCACAGAACACGTGTCCTGGGACACAGATGTCACAAACCCCATCTCTTCCCAGTGCAGGGACATGGGGACAACAGTCTTGATAAGGGGATTAATTATGCAAACCACTGAGATCTCTTGCCCACTCCTTTGGCTCCAGAAAGGGGAAGGAAAACTCAAATTAATGAGCTATTAGTGGTTAGTCTATTTGGTTAAGGTACAGGGAGAGGAGTGAGAGGCTCAAATTAATTTTATTCTTTAATTCTTTGTTGGCACAGATGATGACACTGAAATAGTGGATCTTCATCTCCATATCCTAATCCAAATTTCTCTGTGTTTCCTGTTTCTATTCTTATTTTTCTCCATTATTTTTCTTATTACTTTCTTTTTGTTTTCCTATTTGAATCATCTTATCTCCAACTCACCCTTTTCTCTATGCCTGAATTCGTAAACTGATCCCAAATACAGTGTGACCCATGGACGCCTTAGTTTTCCTTTGTAAAGTGTGTAGAAATGTGGTTATTGACATCTTTGTATAGAAGAGAATTTTAAAATTAAGTGAGAAAAAAGTAAAAGGGCGAAATTTCTGTAATGAGTTTATTTTCTTCCTCTTATTGTAATTTCCTTTCAAAATGGGATAGTAGGCAATACGTTACTTTTTTTCTCACTTGGAAATTCAGCATATTGATTATTAAACCACAGGCTAAAATACTGATATTGAGAATAATGAGAATAATCAGTAGCATGAAGCATTTATATATAGCACACATTATTCTAAGGGCTTAATATATATATGCTCGCCCATTTAAATGCTCACAATTCTCTAAGATAGGTACTATTATCATCCTCATTTTTCAACAAGGGAACAGAGGCACCAAAATGTTAAATAATTGCTCAAGATGATATAACCAAGTGTCAAGACCAGACCTGAACCTGAATTCTGGCTCCAAAGTCCCTACCCTCAACTACTAACTGGTTTTCTTTGGTATTCAGATCTTTCTTTGAATCTTGATAAAAATTTAAAATCTGGAGATGGATAGCATAATACAAATTTTGAAAGCTGAACAGCTATTACTCTAGATTTCCATCCAACTAAATCAACCAGCAGGCTTTTATGTGCAAGGCTTTACTTGCACATTGTGTGTTGTTCAGAACCAACTTCATCCTCATAGAACCTCTTGTGTTTGCCTCTGAGCTGCCTTAAGCCGAGGGTGCCAGACAGCAAAACTGGGCCCCACGTCCCCTGGCCTGGCCACGGGCTGTGGTCAGACACATGGCACCAGAGCCAACATGCTTGCAGAGCAGCTCCAAGTTGGAGGAAGGATTCACAGTCCTCAAGGAACTGGCTAAGATCCTCAGGAGTACTGCCAAACAGAATGGCCACCCCATCTCATTTTGAACTAACTTGTATTTGGGTAGAAAAGGATCCATTTTTAACCTAAAATTAGCCAATGGGCTGGTCAGCAAATATATCTGAAATAATCTTTTCCTGTACTAATATGAACATATTTTTTAATGTTAATTCATTATTAATTTATTTAACTTTTTTCAATTACAGTTTCCATTTAACATCATTTTGTATTAATTTCGGGTGTGCAGCATAGTGGTCAGACAATCACATATTCTACAGTGATTCTCCTGATATTTCCAGTACCCAACTGGCACCCTACACAGTCATTACAATATTACTGACTATATTTCCTCTGCTATACCGGTACTCCACATCCCCATGACTGTTTTGTAACCACCAATCTGTATTTCTCAATCCCTTCACCTTTTCCCCCAGTCCCCCAACTCCCTCCACTCTGGCAACCATCAGTCTGTGATCTGTATGTGTGAGCCTGTTTCTGCTTTGTTTAGAACATACATTTCTACAATTCATCTCTGATGGTGGAGCTGATCTCAACAAATCTAAAGACTGGAAATGCGGTGATTTTGAGAATGGTTGTGGATACAGCCATCCATTTTGAATGCACAAATCTTTAGTGTCCTTGGTTAGGTAGCGCTCATACAGGAGTTCTTTCTGGAGGAAGTTGAGAAGCTCTACTGTAATTGTTTAACATTTCTAGAATCCTCTGCCCAGTGTGGACCCTTTGATTTGCTTTAAAAGAATTTCATTTTAAAGAGGCAGAGTTAGCAGCAGTGTTAGATTAGTTAGTAGTGAAATTTGAGGGAGACTTGCAACCTCTGGGTCTCAGTGCTGTTGCTTAGTAACAAAGTCAGTCAGCTTTCTAGGCTGCAATGAGACTATATAATAAAATCTCTCTAAACATAACCAACTGGCAAAGGCTTAGTATAAGTTGGGATTTTTAAAGCATTTGGAGGAAAAAACTAGGTCAATTAACAAAAATGACAAAGCACACAAAGGATTTGGGCAATTTTTCTATCTGCCCCCAATTTTTGCTACATTTAGAAAATGCATGTCCTTTGAGGGGCATACATATTTAGTTTTCCTCTCTTTTACTAGATATGGCTCCAAGTCTCCATTTGCAAAAGTAGCACAAATGTGTAAATCATTATTAAGATGCCAGCATTTTCTGAGCAAGTATATGAGGTGGATCTTTTCCAAGGAAACAGTCCCTATGCCTGGAGATGCCCCGAGGATGTGCCACAACCAATGGACATGAACTCCCAAGACTGGGGGCAAGATCTGGGATGAGTGGCCTTGAGCCAGTGCGTGGTCTTTCTGAGATTCTATGTTCTCCTCTTCACAGTTTAAATAACTATTTCTGACATTTGGTACAGGGAAAATATCTTTAAAGGTCCCCATACTAAATGTGGCCTAATTTCCCAGACTTGGGCTCATGTCTCTGGGCCAGCTCCACAGACCTGCAGTGTGACCTCTGGGACCGTTTCTCATCCTATGTTAAGAGTGGCATGTTAAATGTGGAAAGATGCAAATTCCCACATAACATGCCCACACTGACCAGAATACATAGATGTTGAACACTGAAATTGCAAACTTCAAGTCAAGAAAAAACAACCTGGCACTTTCTTTCCACCTTACTGTTGCAAGAAACTTGGAACCCAGAACAGAATTTCACTGGTAGTCTCTGCACACTGCAGTGTGACATGAAAACATAAATTTTGGTTCATGGATTTTATGGGTAGGAGTTGACTGTAAGTATGATTGCTTTTTCTTTCTGCCTAAGCACAAAATTCATTTTTAAATGGAGAAATACAAATATAATCTCAGAAGAGTTTAGAGAATCAGGTGTCTTACAATGTACAGCTGTTAATAGTACATGTGTGCATGTGCATCTATATACCTACATACACATATATGCATACATACATATATATAGAAAGAGAATATGATACCAAGCTGTTAACCACACTGATCTGTAGAAAACAAACTTGAAAGGTAGCTCTTACTTTATCGCATCTCATCAGCCCCAAATATCTGAGAGACTTGCTGCTCTGTGCAATCAGGGTGGCTCCTTGATCTGTAATTTCCTTACACCATCCAACATCCACAGTCTCTATTGTCATGCTGTACCGCCCGATGGCTATCAGTGCTGCAAGAAGGGACAGGGAGAAAGAAGGCAAGGATTAACGTTAGTAGTGTAAGGGATCTCTGCCTTATTATGACTATTTCTCCCATTTCCTCACTAAATTTGTTCCTGGAATGTGATGTGTAAATAACTGCTTTATTTACACATCAATTAAATTTAAAATGCTTTAGGAGAGCTTGCCCTATGACCAACCCTTTCACAAGGTGAATAATCACCCCACAATTTCCCTTTCATTGAAACACAACCTCACAACCTTTTATCAGTTTTCCTTTTTGCAAGGTTACCTGTACTTTCAAACATTCGTATCTGCAGACGGAATGAATTAAAATGAATTACACATAAAATGTTACAGAAAACCCCAAGTAGTAACTAAACTTTACTCATGACAACTTTAATAATTTTTAAAAGAAAAACCCACATAAACACCATTTTGAGGTGTGTTATACTGCACATGAATTTCTTCATCAATTGGCATAAAATTTTCCATCTGTTTCTCATCTGTAAAATGTAAGAATATATAATATTTTTCACATTAGTCCTTCATGGGACTGTTAGGAATTAAGAGTACATTATACATACAGTTAAATTTAATTGGTGCCACGTTAGAGTGCAGTAAAGGGAATGTATTTACTATGGTGAATTTCTTCATTGTATCAGCACCTTCCTTCTATTAACATACAAAATGAAACCTGTTATCTGAAAACTATGAAAGCATCTCTTCCTGTCTGTTTAGCACTGAAGCACCACCAATGTGCAGACATGTATCCCATAATCTTGGATGTGCACTACCCACCACTCATCATAACCCATCCCCCTGTCAGAGTGACCAATCAGTGAATGTGGTGAATGTGCCTCATTGCTATGGACTTCTGATTTGACAGATATGCATGCCTCTACATTTGTGGAGCAGAAAAACAGATTTCAGTAACTCCATCCAGAATATGTTTACAGTGCATTGGTATGTAAGTGAAAACCCTGAAAACAATGCAACAAATATTAAAAAGGAAGGAGAAATTGTTTGCTAATTATTTCCTCATTTTAAGATAGGATGAAATGATTGACTAGATTGGTATGCGCAGGGTGAATTGCTCATGTAAATAAATGTTAACTCTTACAGCTCACAGAAAAGTACACTTGGCAAAATCACTTCGTTAATTACCTCAGATTTTTTCAAACTAGAAAACTCATTCTCATTCATTCAAGTATCAAAGACAGATATTTCAAGCCTAGAAAAACCATAATCACGATCCTACTATTTTCCAATGAAAATGGTATAAAGGAAGAAAAGAATTTTTTTTCCTGTAAGTTCTTCATGTCACTAATTGAAAATGCTCTCATCTTTGCCCATGCTATTTCGGTATTTAGTTTTCCCAGAAGGCAAGGCAGGGCAAGGGAGGAATCCATCAAAGGTTTGCTGAAGGGTCTGAATGACATTTTCGTGCAGTGGAAGTACCCCAGGTTAAGCTCATTGGAGTCCCTGACCTAAGAAAATTGCTGCCATCTCTGGTGCTGCCATAACTTTCATTGGTTATGATGTCCTGAGGATCTCCTATGATGAATAGAGTAGCAGATACATAAAAGAAATTCTTTTCAGTACAAAGTGCTCAAATTGTGATTTCAAAAGACCACAAAGCACAAGTTGCAGGGTGGCCCCAGGTCAGTAGATTGTGCACTTTTATTGAGGTTTGAGGCTAGAACATGAAAGCTCAGTATTAGCTAGAAAAAGGTAAACAAAATAATCTGAGTTTTCAAAGGCTGCTTTATAATCAAATGAAGAGTGAACCGCTATTTATTCTAGTTACCAAAATCACTGGTGTCCAGTATTTTCATTCTGTCCAAATTAAAATAAACAGTAAATAAGACACCTGAAGATAAATCAGGCATTCTATTTATTAAAGTAAGAAATATTATTGCTTAACTCATTCATTTATTCAATAAACACCTAACAAGCACTCACTCTACAGTGTTCTCCAGTATTTATTGACTATCCAAGCACTAGGCACTGGGCTAAGGAATTTAGGTGCATTGTCTCATGTAATCCTCACAGCAATGTTATGAACTCTTATTGTTATTTCCATATTAAAGATCAGGAAACTGAATCACAGAAATATTGAGTAACTTTCCCAGTATAACAAGACAGTAAGTGGGGGAATGGATAATAAGCTGACAGCTGGCTCTCAGCCCTGAATGCATATCAGACCTACCAAATCAGAATCATGGGGCCAGGCACCCTGCAACTCTAATTCTCTGCACTGCCAGCGCGTGGAACTGTGGTGTGTATGACACAGGGGGCCATGCTGGGTGCGGGAGACAGAATGATTTCAGAGCTCAGAGGATAGATGAGAGGGTGTGGGGGTGGAAGGGTTGGGTAGAAATGAGAAACAAGTGAGTAGACAGTCACACTGCTCATATCTCTTCCTGTGCCTAACTCCTCTCACTTTCCACATCTCAGGTGAAAGGTCAGCTTCTCAAAACAGATCACCCTATCACTTATTACTGCTACTGGAAATGTTATTTATTTATTTATTTACTTACTTATTTTGTGGCCCACCTCCCCCATTACAATGATAGCTCCTATTCACTGCTGTATGTCCAGCATTTAGTATGTGCCTAGTACAGAGGTGTTTCTTGAAAATATTAATTGAACATATCAGTGGCTTTAATACGTTTAGATCAATCGTAGAGGCATGCCCAGGAGGCCTTGGAGCCCCTCACTCTTTAGGTGAGGAGAGGTATAATGGGAGCTCTCATGAAGGGCTAAACTATGTCTGGAGGATTCTCCAGAAAAACAAAGGAATAAGGGCAAGTGTGTAGGTCTAAGGAAAAGCATGTGTCAGAGTAGAGAGATGTGAAAGAACAGGGGAGCTGCAGGTCTTTCTATGTGCCAGAAATAAAAACAAGTGCAAGGAAGTGGAAAGATTTATTCCAGCAATATTTATTCATGGTTAACAGCACTGGGGCACACCTAGGAGATACAAAGAGTAGCAAAGAAAAATCCTCCATGTCATGAAGATTATCTTCTAATGGGTAAAATAGATTTGAAACAAACAAAGTATATATAACTCTAAATTGTAGCAAGTGCTCTGAATGAAATGGACTGATTGCTGTAAAAATAACATGTAGATGGGGGGTATTGAGGAAAAGTGTTTCTGATGAGGTTATTTTTACATATCCATTTTGGAGGTAAAAACCTGAGGTTAAATACCTCACCAAGGTCCCATCCCTAATCAGCGGCAGAGCCAGGGTGCACACTCAGACAGTTAGTTTGGTTTGGAAGCCGATGCTCATCCTACCAACAGCAGCAGCACCCAGGGTGGGAGAGGAGACTATGTATGGTGAGGAAGTATTTCCCTTTACCACAGTTCTGGAGTGAAACATTACAGCTTATAAGCAGCCAAGTAGTTACTTGATAATTGTAAGATTCTGATAGAATCTTTAAATTCTAAAATGCATACTGAGTAATTTTACCTCTCTGTGACTATATCCTATCTTTGGATATTTTTTCATTGTTCTTCATGAGCTAGCTGTGAAATGTGTAGTGCAGTTTCAAATTCTCTTGTGGCCATACAGTGCAGGAGATGTCTGACCTCAGGATGACATTTAACATTTCTGAGTCTCAGCTTCATCACCTGGACAGTAGGGATGTTGACTCCATGTCCTGCCCACTTCATAGTGTTGGTGTGAGGTTCAAATGAGATAATACATGTAAGGGGCTTTGCACTACATAATGTCATGATTTATTTGATATTGCCCCAAAGCATTCTACAGAGTGCAGTTGATATTAAATGAAAAAACTTGAAAGAGTTTTGAAAAACAAAAAGCTCTGGGCAAATGAGAGCATTATGTAAGTACTCAGTCATTATGTCACTGCTAGAGTTCTTGAACTGCCTACTTTCCATCAGTGTTCACTGAACCTGCAGACTGAATGTGGGATGATAGGGCTGTAAATGTGTATGTGATTACTACCTTCATTAGAGGCTGTTGACACATTGCAATGATATTTATTAAGCATTGAAAAGGGATAAATTATGCAAGACTACTTCCTAATCCCCATGCAATTTTAATAAACTTTTTATGTGCTAAGTTCAACTAGTAAAGTTAAATTTTAAAAAGTTACACAAATTAAAAGCTGTGATTCAGTAACTTATATGATGATCAAGAAAGGACCTAGATGAACCCACTACAAGGCATTTCCATAGTTATGGGGAGTGACTGAAAGACACGAGCACAGGTACACTTAGTTTTGACTAAGAAATCCCATCTAGGAATCTACCCCAAAAATACACTTCTATTTAAACAAAATCTCATATATACAAGTTTGTTCATTGAAGCATTGATTGTACTTGCAAAATACTAGAAACAGCCTTAATGCCCATAATAGGAGAGTGGTTAAATAAACTATGCTCCATTCTCACAGCTAAACACTAAGCAGCTAAAAAAAAAAAAGGGGTTAGGTCACTAGGAACTTCCAAATCATTCAGTGAAGAAAGCAAAGTGCAAAAGAGCTTACTTATATGGTGTGCCACCACTGTATAAAAGGGAATACAATAAAAAACCATGAATCTGCTCATTTGTGAAAAAGGAATACAGGAAAGATAAACCAGAAAATACAGAGAACATTTCACTATAGGGGTTGGTGGGGAAACAGAAGAAAGAAAAGAGCACAAAATGCAGAGATGAAAGGTGAGGAAGGACAGGCATTTCTTGAAATATCTCTTTGGCTACAGCTTTTACCCTCCGAACCACAGGAATGCTTTACATACCTCCCAAAATAAAGAGAACTAAAGCCAGCTAGAATGTGCGGGCACCTGAAGTGGAATATGACAAACAAATAAATCCTAATTGTATTACAAATGAACAGCATGAACCTGCCAAATAATGTAACCACACTGAAAGGGATGGGAATTAAGTTGCTTTGGAAAACATAATTTTGACTAGATATTATAAAGTGAAAAACCAAAAAGAACTGTCAGCAAATGCTGTACTCTAGTTAGTGAATCTAT